CTAAATTCTAACCTACAGACCCAGAACTAGTCACTATGAGGCTATCACCACACGTGCTCATCTCTGCTTCGGACTACACAAAAGTAAAGGGCCATTGCAAATACAGACGGGGATTCTAACAACCCTACGAGTAGCGGCAAAATTTGTTTAAATCGAGTGTTTTTTTGTGGACTTGAGCTGTGCGTAGCAAAATCCGCCGACGTGGGGCAGCCCCGCCTCTTCGGGTCGATCCCTTGGCTCCACCTACAACGGGACGTTGTGAGAGAAGCTAAAGAGTTTTCTTGATGGGTTGAATATGGGCCATTTCGTTAATTATTTTCTCTTTAAGTCGCAAATACAGGAGAGTTAGAACATGAAATGCAACGTTGGTTGGTGTGTTTCGAATTCCGTCGTCGACAATTAATAAAGATAATATTATTTCCTCAAACACATTTTTTTTAATGTGTTTGAGGTACTCTTCTTTATTTCTGTTACACATTTGTCTCAGCTTTCTCGATTTTTTTTTTGCATAATGGCTTCTCGGAGTATAATAAAATGTAGTTGCCCAGAAATCGTTTTTTAAGGTATGGGAAGTTCAGTAGTCATACGGACTTCAACTGAGAGAATAAGTGAATTGTAGTCAACTTCAGTCTTTTTTTTTACTCAATCTAGAAAGTAAATAAGATATGTCGATAAGGTCTGGCGTTATCACCAAGCAACCAGACTGCACGCTTTTGAATTCCGTGACCACGGATCATGAGTCTCTCGAGGAATTCGAAATAACGGGCTGCGTTGATTTTTTTTATTTTTGGCGAATACCTCGTTTCGTAGCAGATGCCCGCGATGTTCATTACAAGAATTACCATCACCTTATACCCGAAGTTACTCTCTATTGTTAAACTCGATTTCTTGCTAGACTGCCATTTTATAAGCTGGTTCCTTACCGATCAGCAGTAGAGAGTAAGCCACGTTTCGTCCATGACCACCGTATGTGAAAGCGGCTTTTTTGCTGATTAAACTTCCGCCAATTGCGTCTGAAATGAATCACATGCTTCTTCAATTGGCCTGGAGTTAATTCACAGGGGAATTACTTTTTTACTCAGTGTGCGCATTTTCATTATTTGCGTTACAATTCTATAACACGATGCATATAAAATACCAGTATTGGCTGACAGAGTCCTTAGACTCCAAACCCAGCCTTCGTGAAAATTCTGTTCGGTTACGGATATGTGTTCGTGTCCTTTGGGTCCCGACATCTAGTTCTCCTTGCCGGTCCTTAACACTGAATTTTCTATTCTTAAAACGTTTGTACCAGTCACGTACTGTGCTTAACTTAAGGCCTTTTTGTCTAATGGATTCATCAATCTTTCATAAATTTCTACACAGAATACAAGGAATGAGAAACAAGAGCTTGACTAGTGAGCGTTGATATTCGAGACTAAGAGATTTTGCCTTTTTTACTGATTTGTCATGGAGTAAACTCTACCGGTTTTCATTTACAAGTTTTTAGGATATGGTGTATTTACTTCTAAATTTCGCTTGCTAACGTAATTCAAACATTATTCAATTTCAGAGTCCGTCGGGCTCGTTCGTAACAGGCTTAGCCTATCTAAGAAGTGCTGTATTTGAACGATCATTAAGTGTATGAGTCCTGTTTTAGGTAGAAGCGATGACTTTTACGTACGGAGAAAGACTTGTGGACGATTTTTCTAGACTAAACAAGCACATCGAAGTAATATTAGCGCAGTCCCGACTCTTGGAGGCGAAAGGATAACCTGCATCGTATCTTTTTTTTGCTTTCATTTTAAGCGTCGTTATATGTCAGTGTATTTAATCTTATATCAAAAAAAAGTCGTTTATTGGAAAAAAAATAGCTAGACATTTAGATTCGTCTATCTTTTTTTGGATAGAAGTGATGCGAAAGAAAACTATTGGTATTGTCAAATAAGCAATTATTGGTCTATCAGTTTAGATTAGCAGCAGCTTTTTAACTTCGCACCTGAGCGTTATGAAATAGGGTGGGGAAAGCTTACGATAGGATTACGCAAACTGTATGACAATTCAGATTGGTTTCTAGGTGCATGATATTGATTCTTAAGGATTAGTTATGGTTTAGTAAACAGTGGTAATATGCCATTCTAGGTTTTCTCAGAGTAAATAAAATTCCAAAAAAAACTCCAACATTATTCGCAAAAATATTGTCCCGAGCCCAAAAACTTATTACTTTTAAACTTAAAATTACAGAATTTTGGTATGTATTAGATGTACTCCCCTTTATTTTTTATACATTAAAGCCAGCGTTCTCAAGGTTTCTAATAGGTTGTATATGGCGACGTGTTAGTACAAATTGACCCTGCGATACGCTGTGACACTCATTGCCCTCCTCAAAACAATCATTGGATTCAAATTTGGAGATCACAACTGTGAAGCTATCACTGGATTCTTTTTTGCTCAATTTAGGTCGTCATTAAAGTGATGCAATAAATCGTGTTTTTGCTCAATTAGGTACTCTGTGTGCACCAGACATCCATAAGGATTTCCTCATTTATAAAGCATCATTGACCCTCTTTTCTTCAATACGCCAATATCGCGTTATATAAATTCCCTGATGTCCGTAACAACCGTCAACATTAGCTTACGCCCGAATTTATTAGGCATAATGACCGAAATCGCTTCTCTCATATACGACGCCTTTCGTATGTTTAGTCATTTTTTGGCGTACCACGAGTTTTTCCCGGCAATTATTGCGCGAATGTTTCTCACCAAACGTGTTATTTCTCGTCCTTAACCCAGTTCATGAAAAACCCATCTTAAATTTTTTTATTCTCAATATTCTCGTTATACTTCCATTACACATGTTGCGGAACATAATACTGAATCGACAGAGAGTATACCGTTTATATACTCTTTTGTTCACTAGCTTCCGTAAGCACGGAAATTAGTTTTTCCATTTGCGATCCTGAGAGGTAGCCGTCTCCTCTGTTGTCTTTGCTTTCATGCTTGAAATAACTACACCAGTGGCGCTTCTAGCGCTAGTACTTCGCTAGAAGCTTTCTTTCATACTGCTTTCACCTGTCTTCGATGGATTCCACCATTACCCTTACCATAAAGGAACACTAACTCAAATATCGGCCGCTGACTTCTAACAATAAAAAATATCTTTGCCTTTTAACTCGTTATTTTTAGTCAGCCAGCTTATTGTAATGGTCAACCAAAAACGTAGTGCAAATTTCTACAAGATTTCGTCTGCTGATGGCGCGTAGATTCAAAGTCATTAAATTTTTCGACCTGCTAAATAGCGTCGGACAAGGCTATAATTTTTCTTCCCATATTGCTGTTTGAGGTGCAGCAGGTATCACCGATCGTTTCGTTTGATAGCTGGAAATCATATAATGATAGTCCAATGTAAAAGTATTTTCAAGCGACTGTTGTGCACGAAAGTGTGGGGATGCAAAGAAAAATATGGTGGACAAATACTTAAACAATAGAACTAGCGAACACGCTAAATGGCAGAAAAGCATGACGAAGCACTGGAAATGGAAAATGGTTATAGGGTTATGAACGTTTTGTGATGACGAACAGAATTGGGGTTGTTGTGAATATCACTACGTTTCTATTCGGAACATTTCGGAGCTACAGATCTAGTCGGACAGCAATTTTTATATAAATGAAATATTAAATATAAAGTGTAGATTTAGCATGTTACGGCTAGGCGAAGTATGCGGACAAAGAAATGTATTAGATATATATACAACATTCGGCAAGGGAACTTGTTTTGTACTTTGATAGAGTTTTTGATTATCTTGTCAGTGAACTGTTTCTAAAAACATTAAGATTTTAATACCAAACAGAAACAGGTGTTTCGAAATAAATTTAGAGATTTCTTTGACCGTCAGGCAAAGCCTGTACTTGAAGCGTTGCACCGAATAGGCGACAATTGAAAAACTGCTTGCGACGCATTGCCGAAGTGGTCACAACGCTCAGAAATTCAACAATACAAAGACTTTCGTTCCATCTTCTTTTTTATTTTACAACGGCTAGCGCGTTTCGGCAATCCTATATACATGCATCTAACAATGGCAAGAAGAAGAACTATCGAAAATTTTACCATAAACCATTTTCCGTACATCTTAATGATTTCAATAATTCCTAATTCTAAGAGGCCATAATCATAATGGTACCCGCAGCAGAGGTGCGAGCTAACGCCAATACATAATGTGAATCTATTTTCCCTTAATCTTTTTTCCGTTTTATATAAAACACTAATAAAACAGGTATTCTTAGCAAGTCCTTTAATATAGGTGAATAAAAATAAAACAAGTGAATCTACTGAATGAAAGCCTTCTACGTGAGATACATCGCACTCAAGTGACGTGCCGGTCAATTACAATACTCCTTTCTTAGGATCGATGAAAAATAACATAGTCTGCGGCATATACGTTTACATAATAACAGTTAGTATCGCAAAAAAATTATTCTAGTTATTGGCTTAGTGTACTTTAAATCTCCATTATTTTTTACAAAAATATTAGTTTGTATATAAAATCTATTTCATCTCAGATTTATCTTTCACTTGATAAGCAACACATAGGAAACGTAATAATCAGTCTTCTTTTACTATTGCCAAGTCATCAACATTCAACTAACCTGTTTGCGCTTTGTCATCGAGTATCTAGTAGCTGTACCGAAGCAGTTAGGGCGGATTAGCGGTTTGCAGCGGGACCCAGATCCCGGGTTTGCTAGCGGGAGTAAGGGGCGATCGTACTGGGTGCTCGTGAGACCGACGAGGTGGCGCTACTATCGCTAACCCGGTAGTCCAGTGATGGCGAATAGTACGACCGCTCGAAGTCCTTACGCAAAAGGCTCCGCCCCTTACGGGCCGGCGAGTCCCGCCTCGAAGGCGTTTTCCCGCAAAGCTAGAGTATTGCCCGTGAGCGACAGGTGATTAGATAACCCACGGCCACCGCCAGAACAGGAAGGGGTCTTCGTGTTTATCTATCAACTATCCATAGGATCCAACACTGACGACTGCCGGACATCAACACGCTAAACGAGAGCCAACCGGGAGATCAACAGGCCTTATCAGCACAGGAACCCTATCATTATCAAAAAAACACTTTTACCTATACTCGGTTATGCAGCTCTCCACCCATTCGGACTTACTAAGTGAAAATTCGGTGTATTTCTCCTGCGTGTACCAACACTGGTAATTATTCCTTTTATGAAATACTGTTACGGGGCGAAACGCAATTCAGGACGACAGCGCCTCAAACAGGACAACAGCTGCCGTTACTGGGAGCCGCATCATTCAACTGCGCTGAAGGGTACCATCCGAAGGCTTCGCTGATTAAACAGTAATTGTGCCTGGTATAACGTCGGGCCGACGCTGGTGATAAGCCTTTTATGTAAGAAAAACAAAGGAAATCTAGTCACGATCGACATAGCGTAAGAAAAAGGTCGGAAGAATATGCAAGTCGCCGCACAAAGACTTTCTGACCCGCAGAATTCGATTTTCGGATAGATCAACCAGACTGGATTCATTCAAGCATGTAGTAGGTCATCCTTGTTAGTTCGGCTTTCTCAACAAAGCTGGTCAGTGAGCGCTGCTGTAGACCAGTCATCACAATAGCTGTAGCTGAAGAAAACGCTCCTCTTTGAAAGTTCTTTACCCCACGTATCGACGTAAATCAATCTTCAACAGTGTCCAAGAACAAATTAAAAACCAGTCTCTTTCCTGTTTATCTGTCAAGCACAGTCGTGGCCTAATACCTGCTATTCTGTATGCAACAGGTCAATAGATATAACTGTAAAAAGTGCGTCCAGAAACTGTGTCAACTGCCTGTTTACTTTAGATTCGGATAAGAGACTTCAGATCCCTCCGTATCCGACACGAGCAGAGATAACGTTAAGCTCCTTGAGGAGGCCTGTACTTTCTCTATTGTAGTTACCCTGGACCGCAAGATATACCGACGTTACCGAAGATTATACAGACATTTGTGGTTTTCCTTAAAAAGGACTTTCGAATATTCATAGGAGGGTTCCTCCAGGATAAACGCCACCATACGATTTCTGAGTACCTCCAAACTATCAGTGATTGTGGAGCCTTCGCAGATTTCAAGCTGCCCTCCGCACGGCGTGTACGACTATTATGGGTTAGTCGGCGTAGTTTCGGGGACACCTGTTTTGCAGGGAGGACCCCCCCCACCTAGGCTCAGAAGCGCAAAGCGTCAGCGTCGCCCTCACCGATCCGTTGGCTAACCCTGGGCAAATTGCTTCGCAACAGGCAACTGGCGCTAGACAATCGATGAATTGCAGCCCCGCTCAATCTTCGGGGCTGACGAGGTATGTAATTGCTTCAGCTGTAGCAGTTCTTTTTTGTCTACTTCGCAACGTTGCCAACGGTGATAGTGAGGTCGATTCCCATTTCAAATACTGCTAGCCAATGATTGCTGTTAGAAAGGCCAATATCATTTCACTGTTACCACTAATCGCGAGTAGAAGACTGAGAAAGTAAACTATTCGAAGATAAAACAGGGTCCAGTAATTTACCGTCAACTGATTAAACTCTGTCAGCTAACGTATGAAGAGAATTTTTTTTATCATATACTTCGAGTCATGACGCAAGTTACCCTATAACGGTCGAAGTTGTTAGAAAGTTCATTGTCCAATTTAAACAGTGATTTATTTAGCCTTCGGTACGCGCAGCAAGTTATAACTAAAGCAAATGAAACAAAACAATTAGTACATTGATATAAGCCGACATCTTGAACTCAATCTAAAGAAGAAAAATAAGTGCATCACGTATCCATAATTTTATGCGACCAAACGTTGATTTAGTAACCATTAGTAAGTTATGCTAATAACTGTAATACGGTTATTATGTCGGCAGGTGAAAGTTTTTATTTAGTTTTTTTTTTATTTAGTATTTAGGGGAAAAATTGAGTTAGTCGTAGACACAATACGATGACTACGGTCCTGTTGTAAGTTCCACTAATATGTAGCTATAACAGGATATTTTGTATAATCTATGAATTGTAGATAACAAATCGAATGGGCATTTGAGCTAGGCAACGTGTTAGAACGTTGAAAGACAACCGACAATGTTTGTGCGGGAAGTGCCCAGAAGCCTGTGCATGAAACATTTCATTTTACAGATTCTGTTGTACAGTTTTGTCCATACAGAAGCGAATTCTATATTTTAGAAAATATATATTGGGTTGCCAATGAAGCATAAATTGTCTCAAATACAAAAACTCGAGCGATAATCGTTTGGATCTTGCCACAGATTGTGGAGCTCCTTTTTCTTCATTTGCGTATTATTGATAAACTTTTTGTGACCAGTTATCGGTCGCTTTGGCAATGGCTCGCTTTAACAATTTCGTTGCGTTTCGGCAGATTCATAGATGCATTAAGATCGATTTAATTTTTTTGCGTCAATTCCTATGACGTCCAAACATCGGGCAGGCGCGTGTTACACTCTGGGAAATATGTGACCTTAAAGCCATCTGCTAGACAAGCGGTCAATGATTCTTCAACAATCCAACATGTATGTGCATATATACATAGTTCTTGGCATCAAGCTGATGGCATTATCTTCGCAAGAGCATGATTAGCTAGATATATGATAATTTTTTAAAGTTTATACTTCTTTACATCGCAACAATGGCGACGAAGTTTCTACTTTGAAAACAGTACACCTCTACAAGGGCTAAGGTTGGCATACGTTTTTATTTTTCACGGTCGATTTCATTTCAGAATATATTAGTCCTAAATACTTATCTGCAACATTCTTTAACACGTTTTTCCGCTGTCTACTTTATTTAGAGATTTGTAGGTACACAGAACTTGCTCTTTTGCCAATTAACGGAGGCGCGACATAGATGGCTGCGAAACACACTTGGTATATTGGCGACGGGCAATGCTAGTATTAATTACACTAGCGTAAATTTTTGGATATGCTTGGATTCAGACTACTGTTACATTACTTTTGTCACTGTCGCTAGGGTGGTGAATCAAGAAACATTTAATTTGCAAATGTTGAACTAACTTCAAAATCTCAAAAGTAATCAGAAGCACAAAGAGTATAAAGAGAGCCACAAGTACGCGTACAACCGTGACGGAGAGATATAGATCCGCTTCATCTATCCCAGAACAGATTATGAAGTTCTTCATCGTGGGCGTTTAAATCATCTTACTTTTACAGGTCCTTTCAGTTCAAGTCCACCTCGTTAGTCTCTCTGTTTATAGCCCAGATTCTAGCGATACATCATCTATCATTCTGCATGTTTATTAGATGTCATAGATCATGTGAATCCAATGAGTCCAACAAGAAATTAGTATCCTGTCTCTTGTACAACATAATCCATTTCGTTTTTTATCAACTTTAGTCTTCTTCCTGCGTCTGCACAGCATATATATATATATATAGAACACATGTGTGTTAAACGACTCCTTTAAACTCTCAAGGAACGCCTGCTTCGTCCTGTACATGTCATACACACGTATAAGGTGCTCGAAGAGCAATTGCTAGCCTTTTTGCGATAAGGCCTCGTTGTCTCGATCAGCCTTTTGCCCGGCATTTATTAATTTCCCTTGTTCGACGACTAGAATCGGGCTCTTTGCTGCTAGAATATTACGTAGAAAAACAGATACGTTCTGCTTTCCAAAACACTGCAATACAATACGAAAGCCCTCGTCTGTTGTTAGCTAAGAGGGAGGAGCCGTTATTATATGTGGTAAAATATGAAACATATTGTTAGCAGTGTTTCGACCAAACGTATCGCTATGTAGCTACGACATGACAAAAGAACATGTAATTTTTTTTATATTTGAACTGGTTTTCTTTGCTGAAATAACCCCAACGGCGTATTCAAGGGACCGTATTAATTGCACGGATATTTCTCAATAACGACTAAACGTGATAAAGAGTATAGCACTACGAATTGGGAAACATAATCAACGCTTGTTAACATAACAAACGCAATCTGTATAATCAATGCTGGCCGTATGCGTGATAACGATATCGAAGTAGGTAACGTGTTTTCCTGCTAACTGTGGACATCAAATCTGGGCGTAGCTTGGTTCGGGCTGGCAGGACCCAATCGGCTCCAGTAGTGCCTAACAGCTAACGTGCACGATATTGGGTACGAAAAACATCTAATATTAGCAGCATGCATGTTTCAGTCGGAGCGGTACAGGTTTGTATGACGACATGAGCAGTGGCTCTTCTAGACAGAATACGCCAACACCATCTGCATCAACGTCGACTTCAGGCGCAGCTGGGGGTCATGGATCCCTCGTCATCATCGGGTCAGCGGCCAACAATACTCACGGAGGGACTCCTCTTTCGTCTCACTATCAAAACTCGCAGACAGCTGGAGGCGGATTTCGGAGGATCATCGAACATCCGATTCATACCTCTGAACCAAGTAAAGCATCTTCATTCATTGATACGAATAACATCATCTTGTTTTATTGCTACAGGTAACCACTATCATGTAGGATGGAGCAAAAGCCTCTCGATAAATCATCTAACAGATACATATAATGTATACATACAATATAAATGTATACTAAGTGTGTGCGTGTGTGTGTATATACTGTGTACACGGAAAATGAGTGATCAAATAACTTTTTCTAACTGTCAGAAGACTTGCCGACCATGTATATGAGCTCTATACATTTTAGCTTGCTTGCTAATTATTTGAGGGATAAGTGAAGAATGTTCAAGGAGTTACTCTGTTACGGTGGAAGGTTTTGCGTTTCGGATGGATGTTTCCATTTTGCTGTTTCATTTGAAAATATCTTCTCAAGGTGATTCAGGCGACGAGGAGCGCCGGCGTGGCAGCGCCGTCACATGGACTCCTGTGAAAAGTGTTATCACTTCGAGACTTGGTAGGTTTTTCCTTAGATTTAATAATCATTTCAAGTGAAACTTGGGTAACATCTGTTACGTTCTGTCATGGCACTAAAATCAGATGATGCAATCAGTTTTAATTGCTCTTCGGCAGGTGACGATTTGCCTAAAATCATTAACTACGATTGTCCTGTTCAATCTAACTGTCAACTGTTTGAGCTCCGAGCAGATGCCGTGATGTAAATACATGAAACTAACACCCAACTGTACAGTAGCGTGTTTTTTTCTCATAGTGTAATATTCCATAGGGAGTTAATGACAGCGATGATCATAAAATCATCATTTAAATTGTACAAGATTGCTTTGAGATCAGTAAATGCAGTTAAAGTATTTTCAGCTTCATATACATGCTGGCATAAATTCGAAACGCGAACTCACCTTTCGACCCAGCGTCAGCGAAATAACATAGGGATTAGGTGTTTCATAATAAGAAATGAAAGCGACGTTCGGTTGCTGAGTCGCCTGTAGGCAGCCGTTAGCCGGTTACGCAACGAAATGTGTCGATGTTCCCTGAAACTTTTCAGCAGCTGAAGGTGACTCTGCGTTCGATGTGAGCATGAAGGATCTTCCTCAAAGAACGTCGATCGCTAATCGTGTCTAGCTTGAACTAGCCTTATTTTAGGTTGGCATTGACTCAGTTGGTCGTCATCTGAAGTCTTTTGCCAACGTAGTTCCCTGCACTTGACATGACAAGACAGGGCAACATTCGTGCCCAGGGTTTCAACATATTATTTATTATGAAACACTCAGCACCTTGTCAATTAATATATATATATATATATATATATATATATATATATATATATATATATATATATATATACTTTAATAATGGCGCGCTGCAAACCAGCACAAATGCTATTTATTGGAGCAACATCTCGCCCTTTTATAGCAGTAGCGTTTACTGATACGGGTCGTAGCTGGTAGTAGAGTTTCCTGTAACAACGTCGTACAATTGACCTCATTATTGCTGAGCAGTCGTTGTAGCTTTACCACGTCTGCTCAAGGCATAACTCTTCCATGGCTATTAGGACCATGTTCGCTACTGGACATCTGCACGCACTTTGTCATTCCTTACAACCGTGGAGTTAAGAAATCGTAGTTGCGGCGACGATTTCCTCCACACTCAAAACCCCAGTTTACTAGATTTTGCATCAGTTTCAATGCAACCGATTTTCTTGCAGGTATTTTTATATTTCGTGGAATTTATTCTAAATAATTGATTTCTATGAGACTCCTTGTTGCCGCAAAACCCCTCAGCTAGTTTTTAGTATGAGAGATCCTAGCGCACAGTACATACTGATAATAGGTACTAACAATGAAACAATTTCTGACATCATACAGTTATCGATGCATAAAAAAAGGAAGCTCATATTAATAAATATCTTTTTCCCTTTACCTGTGTCCACATAGATGTATTTTTAATGCAAGCAAATCTAGATTTTTCCCTTTGCCGCCGTCTTTGGTCGTAGTCTTGTAGATGGGCCGTTTTTCATAGCTAGCATCGTACAAAAATTCACATGATCTTCTTGCAAAATGTGTTACTCAAATGCGAGACCATCGGAGAAATTCTAAAATTTTAGTATCATTATATATTTTAAGAGAAGGTCAGCTACTCGACATGACCTTGCACCGCCATTCATCTTGACGTCCGGTAGGAATCCTTGCGACCCTCAGTTGCTGGGAACTTCAATTAAAGCAGCACATAGGTAGTGTTAATTCGAATCTGAGCGTAGACACACATTATAGTTTTTTGCTTAAAGTTCAAACGACAATAAAAAAGAACGCTGTCGAATTTAAGCATAATTCGTTTTCTTCTTGATTCTCTAAGGCTACCCTATCGAATCTCCTACCCGTTCCTTGACGGCCGTTCAATCGTAGTGCTAAACAGTGGTTTGACAATATGTTATAAAAACCAGTTTACAAATAAAAAAACGCTCAGGGACGAAAACATTTTGTGCTAGGACAGTTTAATGGTATAGATCAAAGCGGGCTTAATGTAACGATAGCACTTATTTTGTTTGTATGCTTACCAATCGCACAGTAGCAGAACGGTCGCGGACAACCGCCATCTCCGCAGTGTCGAGTGCTGGTGACGAATTGAATTTGCCGCTCTCGTCGTCAGACAAACGGGATACGACCAGCAGCAGCAGCGTAAGTAACGAGTTCCCCAGCCCAATTAGCTATATGGCAATCCTTCACCAACATACAGCCTGCAGTGGGTCTGGAGGTGGCAGTGAGCACCATAACAATCAGGGAACGGCCATGCCTCATAACGAAGCTATTCACCTACCCCAGCAGCACCATGCCAATGCTATCAGTGCTGCAAGTCACAACGGTAAGACGCTCATTCGGATATTCTAATAAAAAGTAGATACACGCATGTCGTTATAATCTAGTAATTTCAATTGTATGGCCTCCGTTCCGTCATGTAGGGCCAATGCGTTTGTCTAATTAACGTAAACACATATGAAGTGGCGTAAGTTCAAAATTTGGCATGATAAACATACGCTTTGTGATGAAACAACACTTGTGACGCAATGTTTAAGTCAGGTCTTCCCGCACGTCAAAGTAGCACATTTTTTAGGTTTGATCATACGACGTTTATTAAACTCGGTGTCCTTTCCTCTTGGTAAATATATTCTATATACAAAAATGCACAGTCTACCTAAAGATTGCTAAACGAAGTGGATTTATTTGAATGTGACCTAATTTATACGCATATGACATACTCAATAAATTACTTACTTCACACATATCGAAGTATCGTGAGCAATGAGGCATAAGCTAGCAGCAGGTTTTGACGATTTCGGTCAGAAGACTTCAACATATTCTTTCATATAGACATGTCGAGCTCAACCTAGATTTCTATCTCGTTTGCTGATGTTGCGCATGTCGCAGGCCATTTGACCTGGGAACGCAACCTAAGTGATATCAAGCTGGAGTACATGGACCTAGACGATTTCCTCCAGGAAGGTGGAAGCCGATGTATTCGACAGCCACAGCTAGCAGGAGGGGCACATTTACAACAACAGCGCCAACAGCAACAGCTCGTAGCGTATGGACAGCAGCGGCAAAGCAATGACGATCTAGGGGGCACGGCATCGCACCGATCGTCACTGCAGCGAGCACGCTGTGAGCAGAATATGTACTCAGGTCGGGTCCTAATTCACAGTCGATTTACAAAAATAAAATTTGTTTGATTTCAACAAACTTTCTGTTTTGGCATGCGCCGCTCATAAGGGAGATTCGATTATCCAAAGACAGTACTTGAATAAGAAACAAAACGAATCTGTTAATATTGTTAGCAAAAGGGTATATATATGAACATGGCTTTAAGGGGCCTTTTCTCAGCATTGATGAGCAGTTTGAACAGCGGATAGTCATTGACAGGGGTTATATTTTCTAACACTAAACGATATTTTTCAGGATACAGTAACATTCAGTCACTAGCGGAACAATTTGTCAAAGAAGTAAAACCAGCTCCGGAAGGTGCCGCATCTCTTGTGAACGTTGAGTGTACTTTTACTCGAAACGATCTGGCTCTCGCTACGATACCCGGTAACCTTAGTTCCAATGTACCTACTTTTGTAGTTTACTGGATAATTTTACGCCAACTTAAGTGCACCTTTACATTAATCACAAATTGCTATTGTTGATCGAGAAGAATTGATTGATTGAGATCGTTCAGTGAAACTGCGCAGCAAGGGTCACAAACCACAAGCTAGTTCTGGTTCGAATCCGTAGGGACATATTAAAGCCGATATTATTATTGAACTTGTGGGTTGTTAACAAAGATAGTTAGTAAGAATCCAATAAAAGCTCACAATAATCATCGTGGGTCGCCGGCTTGACTTAATCAATTATGACCATGAATTGACTTTGCCTTTACACAAGCAGCAAATATAGCACATATCATAATATATTCTTGATATCTACGATATTATATTAATAAGAATGTGAGCGATATTTATGCGATAAGCGCATCTAATCACAACACGATTACATTAGTTTGTCAATGCTGGCATGTCGCGCTGCATTTTGGTTTTTCTAGATTTATCTATATCTTCCAAAGTCTGTTTACGCCACAAAAAAAAAAACAAAAATATACCCCAACAAGGTACCAACGTTAATCGGTCTTATATAAAGGTCTACCATAGAGACCCTTTCCATGGACGCAAAGAGTGATAAAATCAAATACATTGGGAAAAATCGCTCTCTTTTTTTGTAAAAAAGAGCAGCTCCAGGCACACGTTCCTATTAGACTGAGCCTCAACGCCTTCTTAAGAGCATCGCGCGTCCGGATCAAAAAACCTTAGTAAACTGGACTCGAAACAAGTTCTGAAACGTGTTTATAAGGTTTTTTCAGTGCCAAACTTGACCGACGTTAAAATTTATACACAAAATTCGTCGACATCCTGAAATCTATGGTTTGTCCAACCCACCCCAGGAAGCATTCTCATCTACGGAAACCTAACGTTAGGAGATCCCACCGTACAGCGCAATGTAGGACGAACTGGTAACGTGCGGGCGCGACAGGCTGAGCCAGGGGTTCTCCGTCCTCTATATTCACAAAAAAGTACAAAATCAGGGGGAAGTATTCGATAAGAACGGTATCCTACTTAGGGTTATCAAGTGAATCTCAAGCAGCCCAGTCTTCCTCGCAGTATTTGTGAACTTCAAAGTTCCCTTCGACTTCGCCTCAAACTTCGTCTTAAACGTCCTCGAAGTTCTGGTGAATGTGCTACATTTAATAGCAACGATAGTTCTGTATACTAGGGCCATAGTAATGACGGGCATCGGACCTGCAGTTTCGCCCCGGGTGATAACTTGGGCCTTTTCATTTTCTTAGTCCTATTCAAAGATCTACTCAAAAAACAGGTCCAGAAATGTGACGGAAGTTCTCCTCTGTGAACACGATTCAGTTATTTACGGGAGCAGTAGGGTTACTGTATCTTTATTTCTTGTACAGCAGGGCCCTTGCCAGGTTACATTGTGCCGTTTGGGAACTGCGATTAGCATCAACCTATCTAAAGTTGCAATCAGGCGGGACAGCAGAATTGCGACTCGTGACACGCTACATCTCTCGAGCCAACCACTAACATATGTCCACCGATTTTTTGTGTAGGGTTGCTGATCTCGTATAGCAATCAAAGCTTCTGCCAGCATGTTAGTAAAAGATGCAAAAAGGCTTCGATAGCCTAGTATTTCACCCCATCGGTTGTCTCTCGACACCTCTTTGCGACTTTATATATTAGAGTTGTGCCAGTTGCCGCTTACGACGCGAGCTTGGTGTGGGAAGCTTTCACACTGGAGGACCTTGAACATTTGAAGTAAACAAAGGGCTCGTTCCTCGTAGAAGGCCTCGAAGAAACCAGTTTTGTCTACTTTCTGGTAGCGATGTCACTGTCCGCCGAGGATTTCTGTCGCCGTTTCAGACTATCGGTAGCTCCAGTACTCCAAGAAAGCTTTATAAAATGGGATAAAAATTTGCGAAGGTCAATCCCCAATTCTAGCAAACGGCGATCATCATGGACGAAACCCGGAGAGGACGAGACGGGTTTAACAGACACGCAGTAACGCGCTATGCACTGCACGACATTCATTATCTCTTATGCAGGGTACAAAAATTTCATAAATTTGATCAATATGGTCGGTGTATTAAATGTAGCCACGCTCGTAATATGTGTCATGCTTCTGACTGCCCACAAGTTCCACCGCTGGGCAGCTTAGCGCAGTAACTAACCGGAAAATGCCAAGTTCGAGTAGCCACCATTTGTATGGTATGAAATAACATATAAAACTTGATATGTTTAGTATGCCAAGTTGTTATAAATTTGTATACCAAACACTTGAAATATATTTCAAATGGTTGGTAAATGTTACCCAACAAAACTAAATAAATAAGACTAATAATAAAAAAGTATATATATATATATATATATATTCATTCATTGTTAATGACATTTTGGCAGGGCAAGAAGATTTCGATCCTTCTAATCACTCGTTTTCCGAAGATGAACTCAAACCACAGCCGATAATTAAGAAATCTCGAAAACAATTTGTGCCTCCGGAACACAAGGACGAGAAGTATTGGGCTAGGAGACAAAAAAATAACATTGCTGCTAAAAGGTCTGAATTATAGCTTTTCTTAGAACCATTCAGTGCTACCTTACCAATTATTAGATATCCACTTCGACAACCTATTCATTTACAATCGAAATGCTCTTTATTTGATACGGAAACAAAGAAAAAGGGCCTAGTGCTCGGATGATTGTCGCGTGGGCTACACGATGACGTACCATGCGAAGACTCCACAGAGACCTTGTTAATCTTTCTTTTAGTTGTACGCTTAATGCGCTTCAAGTGACTATGGAATACCTCATTCAGCTGCATGTTATTTCTTTATCTACTTAGCATGTTCAGATCATTTTTGCACGGTACCGCCATGACATCATTAGAAAACGTTTAATCGCAAACAATCTCACATCTGAAAGCAACATGTATGATAATCCAATATGGCTAAAAGTTCAATTGTTTCGTATTGCCTTTTAAGTTGACACCTCTAGGCATACAAGAAATGAAAATTAGTAACACAGATGGCTAACATTGGAGGTATAAAGAAAATATCAAACTAACCAAAGACACTCATCTCTTCTAAACAAATACTCGTTCTTTGATTAAAATTACAGATCTCGTGAAGTTCGACGCGTTAAAGAAAACCAAATTGTCCTACGCGCATCATTCCTTGAAAAGGAAAACCTCGCCCTTCGTGAAGAAGTACGCAAGCTCCTCCAAGAGAATGAAATTTTGTTGCAGCGGCTTCACAAGTACGAGAATTAATGAAATCTGTTGATCACTGAACGATTCCGGAATGGGTTTGCCGCCACGATTCGATCAGCCGATCCTGCAATACCACTGAACAAGAAAACAGAATAATCGCTCAATAATTACGTAGCTTTCTATTTTCAACAAAGTTTATATTAGGTTTACGCACATTACAAACAGCAACAAAGCGTTTGTTGTTTGTACAGGCTTACTTTAGTTGACGATTTTCATGTTAATGGTCACTACGGTAATTCTCACGCCCTAAGATCCAATTCAGTACAGATTCTCAATTGTGAACTAATGTTCATTGAGAAATGTCGTTAACGGCATGACGAATCGACCAAAGCACTGCCACAATGTTGATTTGTGACGTTGTCGTGATGAAAAGACCACCACTTCAAAAACTAGCTCAGATGACTCAAGATAGGATTCGTGCTTGCTAACGAGGTATTTAAGCGCAATCGAATGATCCTGGTGATATCAAAACGTCTAGCCATATATAAAGAGCCATTATCAGTATTTCAATAGTTACTTTCACGCTTTAATATTTGCTGCATAGATGGCTTTGACATACATTTCTCGTCAGAGCTACGCGGGCACAGGTTTCCAGACGAATGTCAGTTGAATGTTCCGAATAGCGAGCTCGGCTTGGCGTAAACGCTGCACGCCAATACAGTTTTTGTACGATCAGACAATTGGCCTGCATTAATCTTTGCCTAAGTCCTGAGGCTTTCGCTGTGTTAAGTCTCTTTTAATCTTTTAGTGCTGTACGCATTGCACACTAGATGTCTAGCTGGTAATTTATATTTTCATGACATTTTTTCTTTCAGTTTGGCCGTTTTCTAGAATTTACGTGATGATGTAACAATTGTGCAAGCACGTAAAAGTATGTAACAAGTTAAAGAAATTCATATAACGCAAGCGATTTCGGTTTTTAATCGTAGTGAAGTGGTCGCAGATGCATTTAGTACGTCGATGGCGTGCTGATTTTTAGACAGAAGTGCTTTTACTGCGTTGCGATGCTGGAATTTAATTAGAAACGACCCAATTCCTAATTAGATTTTATGAAATAACGCAAAATTAGTTATTGTATTGCGCACGTGTGAACATAATGAATGCGTTTTAACGGCTATGTTTGCTGTATA